CTCCGTTGATGGCCCCACCGGCAAGAAATGTGTCCCCCTATACCGTCCCCCCTCTCCCCCTCTCTTCCTCTTCCCCTTTATATATCCGTCTCCCTTCCCTTCCCCCCTTTCCCCCTCTCTTCTTCTTCCCCTTTATATATCCGTCTCCATTCCCTTCCCCCCTTTCCCCCTCTCTTCCTCTTCCCTTTTATATATCCGTCTCCATTCCCTTCCCCCCTCTCCCCCTCTCTTCCTCTTCCCCTTTATATATCCGTCTCCATTCCCTTCCCCCTCCCCACCCCACCCCCGTCTCCTGTCCCCCCCCCTCTCTGTTCTTCCTCCCCCCTCCCCTCTCTTCTCGTTTTTTTTTTTTCATCTCCCTTCTTCTTTGTCATTCTTCTTCCTCTTCTTCTTTTCCCTCCTTATTTCCTTTTCCTCCCTGCTTCCCTTTCTCTTCTCTTCTTCCCTCTTCTTTCACTTTCCTTTTCCCTTTCCCCTCGTTGCTCATTTCCACCTCCAAATCTCTAATGTCATATCTCCCCCCCCCCACCTCCGCATTCTCTAAATCCCTCCCATTACCCCCACAAAAAAAATGGTGAAAAAACGAAAAACCACAGAGAAAGAGAGAGAGAGAGAGAGAGAGAGAGAGAGAGAGAGAGAGAGAGAGAGAGAGAGAGAGAGAGAGAGAGAGAGAGAGAGAGAGAGAGAGAGAGGCAGACGCAAACAAACAAACAAAAACAGAGAGAGAGAGAGGAGAGAGAGAGATAAAGAGACAGAGAGAGAGAAAGAGACAGAGAGAGAGAAAGAGAAAGAGAGAGAGAGAGAGAGAGAGAGAGAGAGAGAGAGAGAGAGAGAGAGAGAGAGAGAGAGAGAGAGAGAGAGAGAGAGAGAGAGAGAGAAAGAGAAAGAAAGAGAGAGAGAGAAAGAAAGAAAGAGAGAGAGAGGCATGACGCAGTAATGCTACATCTATAATGGACGCCCTCGGCACGCTGGTCTCCTTCTATCTGAGTAACCCACGTAACCTACAGCACAAAGTCCTCGTCGTGATAGATAGGTAATGCAGCGCAAGATGTGGGTCACGAAACACACATGCGGAGGCGCTTGTAAGTTTAAGCTGACGGAGGGTTTTCCTCTGATGTGTTCTTTATGCCAGCGGCGTTCGCGGAGGTTAAGGATGGAATTGACGCACACACACATACACACACACACACACACACACACACACACACACACACACACACACACACACACACACACACAATATTAATAATAAAGAAACAATGATAATCAGTGATAAGCAATGGTATCATAATTAACGTTTTGATCATTGACCATCCTAACTCATTACAGATACGATAATGATACGAATGATTTAAAGTTCTATAACCTGGAATATTATAATACATAAAAGGAATTGATAATCAGCGCCATATTACAAGGACTGATGGACTGTATGAGATCGACCCAAATTCTTGCGACCTATCACGTCCCTGTTTTTTTTCCCTGATCTTTATTGAATCTTCTGTTTGGTATTATTGGTCTTCCCTTCGCTCTCCTATTTAATTATGTTTCCTTCTCTTCCCCTTTCCCTCTCTTGCCTCTTCGTTCCCGCTTTTCCTCTCTTCTCTCTTCTCGTTCCCTCTTTCCCTCTGTTCTCTCTTCGTTCCCCATTTTCCTCTCTTCCCTCTTCGCGTTCCCCCTTTTCCTCTCTTCCCTCTTCGTTCCCCCTTTTCCTCTCTTCCCTCTTCGTTCCTTCCCATCAGCCCATCATTCTGCCGTAACTTCTCTTTCTCTGTTTCTTTTTTTCTGTGTGTGTGTATGTCTGTCTGATTGTATGTCTCTGTCTCTCTATTTCTATCTATCATCTATATTTCTTTCTGCCTGTCTTTCAATATCTCTCCTCTCTCCCTCCCCCTCTCTTTGTCTCCGCTCTCTCTCTCTCTCTCCCTCCCCCTCTCTTTGTCTCCGCTCTCTCTCTCTCTCTCTCTCTCTCTCTCTCTCTCTCTCTCTCTCTCTGCCCTATCTGCCTTTCAATATCTCTCCTTCTCTCTTTCTCCCCCTCTCTTTGTCTCTGCCCTCTCTCTCTCTCCTTTTCTCTCTCTTACTCTCCTACTTCCTCTCACCTTTGCTCTTTTTCTCTCTTTCTTTCTCATTTTCTATATCTCCAGTCTCTCTCTTCGTCTTCGCCCTCCCACTTCGCCCTCCTCGCCAAATATCCCGTCTCCCTTCTCTCTCTCTCTCTCTCTCTCTCTCTCTCTCTCTCTCTCTCTCTCTCTCTCTCTCTCTCTCTCTCTCTCTCTCTTTCTTTCTATATTTCCATTCTTCCTCTTCGCGTTCCCCCTCCCATGCCATTTCCCTCTTCGTCCTCTCCGCCAAAATCTCCCGTCTCCCTTCACTGTGCTTGGCGGCCTCATATCACAAGGCTTCTGGTCCGCGCCATAAAATGCAAAACGCTTTGAAAGTTGAGTCAGGCTCATTTGCATATCCGCGCTACTCATGAACATGTTTCTATCAAGTTTACTTTGCGGCTCTTCAGTTGCGTTCGAGTCTGCTTCGTTTGGGGGTTCGTTTGGACGCGTTCGAAAACCGGCGGGGAGAGAGGCCTTGTGAATTCCGTAGGTGAGTTGGGTTCGAACCTCGGGCTGTATGTATGTCCTTGTGCTCAGGGATATGCGAGTGTGTTTTGGTCTGTTGTTTGTTTGTGTGTGTGTGTGTGTGTGTGTGTGTGTGTGTGTGTGTGTGTGTGTGTGTGTGTGTGTGTGTGTGTGTGTGTGTGTGTGTGTGTGTGTGTGTGTACGTGTGTGTGTACGTGTGTGTGTCTGTGTTTATCTATGTGTGTGTGTAGTTCTCTCTGTTTCGGTATCTCTATCCCCCCTACACACACATACACGCTCACACGCGCACGCACAAATTCCTACTACGCATGTAAATACGTATATGTGTATATGCATATATATATAAGCTTGTATAATATACTCGATTGGACTCGTTAACCGGCACAATGATATATTTTTGTCTTTGTATTTTACTTTTTTTTCTTCTTTCTCTCTTATTTTCCGTGTTTATCATCATCAGTTTCCTTTATTTACCTCTCTTTCATTCTTATTATTCTCCATACTTGTTATCCTTTCTCTTTCTTCCTTTTTCCTCATCCACCTAATGATCTTCCTCCTCTTCTTTCCTTTCTTCTCTTTTACTGTACTTCCAATACATTTTTTCTTCTTGATTGTCTTCTTCCTCCTCTTCTCCCTCCTCCTCCTCCTTCGCCTCCTCCCTCCTCCCCTCTTTTCCCGCCGTCGCCGCCTCCTCCTCCTCCTCCTCCATCTTCTCCTCCTTCTCCTCCTCCTCCTCCTTCTCTTCTTCCTCCTCCTCTTTCTCCTCCTCCTCCTCCTCTCCTCCTCCTCCTCCTCCTCTCCTCCTCCTCTTCCTCTCCTCATCTTCACCTCCTTCTCCTTCCCTCTTCCTCTCCTCCTCCTTCTCCTTCCCTCTTCCACTGCTTCTTTCTCCTCCTCCTCTTTCTCCTCCTCCTCCTCCTCCTCCTCCTCCTCCTCTCCTCTTCCTCCTCCTCCTCCTTCTTCTTCTCTTCCTCCTCCTCCTCCTCCTCCTACTCCTCCTCCTCTTCCTTTTCTTCCTCTTCCTCTTCTTTTTCTTCTTTCCTCTTCCTCTTCCTCCTCTTCCTCTTCTTCATCTCCAGTTTCTTTTTTCCATTTTATTCCAAATTGTAAAATTCTTTCTATCGCCGATGGATATTTCTCACTTTAACACAATGTCAATTATCATTTTCAAAAATATGTATTTTTTCTGCACTCCGTTCAAAATCGCGAGCGTTGTTTTAGGTTTCTGTAAATGATCAAAACAAGTGAATAAGTGAATTAATATGAAAATAGTGAAACTAAGAGAGGAATGGGCTGATAAAGAAAGGAATAAATAAACTGATACGATTAACAATGAATAAAGAGATAGAAAGAGATATGGAGTGAAATTGATGATCAGAAATAGAGAAAGAAATGGATTATTGGAAATAGAGAGAGAAATGAATTGTCAGAAACAGAGAAAGAAAATAATAATTAGAGAGACAGGCAAAAGTGAATTATTAGAGAGAAAGAGAGAAATAAAATGTCAGAAACAGAGAGAGGTATATTACATCAGAAACAGAAGAAAAAAATGATAATCCTAGAGACAGACAGAAGTAAATTACTGGAGAGAAGGAAAGAGAAAAATTATCAGGAGCAGAGAGAGATACGAAACATCTGAAACAGAGAAAGAAAATAATAATTTTAGAGACAGACAGAAGAGAGAAATAAATTGTCAAAAACAGAGAGAGATATGTTACATCAGAAATAGAGGAAGAAATTGATAATCATAGAGACAGACAGAAGAGAATTACTAGAGAGGAAGAAAGAAAGAAAGACATCGTCAGAAACAGAAAGATATGTGTTATATAAGAAACAGAGAAAGAAATAATCAGAGAGACAGACAGAAGCAATATATTGGAAAGAAAGAATTGTCAGAAACAGAGAGAGATACGATACATCTGAAACAGAAACAAATTAATTATCAGCGTGACAAACAAACATACCCACTAATTCACCATAAGCGTGTACCCTTAATAAAAAGAACAATTAAAAGGAGTTTGCGGAAATGTAAAATTCGAAATGCTAGTCTCTAATTACCACTGTGAAACAATCCCCTTTTCCTGAAAATTCGTCACTCATTTATTTTCAAAGTACGCCGTGTTTTTCCGAGGACAAAAAAAAAAAAAAAAAAAAAAATCTGTCTCCATTTCCTAGTGTGCTTTATAGTTACATCTCTAAGTCAAGAATACAGTAATAACTTCAAAGGGTTGGTGTTGATGTTCTTGTAACTGTACCTGGAAGTTCTATTGAAGTAACTTCATCTACCTAGATTCTAATGCGAATTTGCATAATTTGAAAAAGGAAACCGTACACGTTCCTCCAACTACAGATAGCTTTGTAGATTTTCCCTTTGTTAATGCTTCTCAACTCTCCTTCTTCTTCTTC